TTGTATGTTGCAGATGAGCATTTGACCGCCATTCACAGGTGAAATAGAGTAGGCCTAGAGAAACATTAAGACTTCTTTGGTACATTTCATGTTTATTTACCATTAATTTTTTTTATTGAGACGTTCCAAGTGCCTGTGACTAGTACTAGTAGTAGTAGTAGTAGCAGTAATAACACTATTTTTATCATTGTCAATTTATCGAGTGTGATCATACAATTTAGAACCGATATATTATATACCTTGAGAGTGACATCACAGAGTTTTCCTATGCGTCTTATATGTTCGATGACTGGATAACCAAGCACTGGGAGATCTTTTTTCTCAAACACAACAACTTGATCTACCTCTTTTTCCTCCATCTTCAAACTGTTGACTTGTGACGGGTAAGCGTGCTGCCCCCTCTCGGAAGTCATACACAACTTTTACTAACCTTTTTTTTAAATAGGCTCATAAATAATATCAAGAGTATATAATAGAGATGATAGCGTATAAAAGAATAGTATAAAAATAGTATAGAAGATGCATATCTCTATTATGTACTCTTAATAATATCTAGTGTATTTATGGTGTCAGCAGTTAATTCCACATATATATTCGCGTTTTATAATTATTTTTCACACTAGATGTCGCCAAAGAGTCATATTTGAACCACTGATTTGCAAATGACATTTCTATAGATCTTAATGCCATTGGATGGTGGCGCCCCTAACGGGAAGAAAGAATCATATCTGTCACCGTTTCTTTCTCGCTCTTTCCCTCTCTTCTACTGATTTTAGTTGCCCCTCGTGCTGTCATGTGTCACTGAGAACACCTACATATTATTTTGCTCTGACGATGAGGAACTTGCTCGTGTAGCATTGCATACGTAAAGCTACGTTGTAATATAATTTGCCGAAACTGCGTGATGAACCAATATCGTTTATCCAAAAACCTTTTCTATTTACTGTGCAGTTATTGTATTTATCACAGTAGTATTTCCTTCATTTTGCTTGAATAGTGTAAGCAACATTTTGACCAGAAAAAAAACAAGGAAATAACAGGCACACGTAGTTATTAAATAAGAAATACTTTAAGATATTTTTTTTTATTTCGAGTGAATACTAAATTTGCGTTTAAAATAATTAAACCCAATTTAATGAAAATATGTATTAAACCTACAGTAATGGCCTCCTTCAAATAAATTCACCAACCTATATTCACCATGATTGAAACATAAAACGAAGTTGCTGTTTTGAATTTTTTTATTTCATCATCCTCCACAATGTCTGTGAATAATAAAAAACATGCATGTTCCAATATGTACATGTCCAGGCCGACGCTGCGTAGAGTGATCGCCAATGATGTTGGTGTGCGATCAATCAAACAGACCTAAAAAGGAGAATGAATCACAATGAGTTTCTTATCAGGTGCACAAAAATCACAAACCTGACATCCTGCATCTGTGTGCCAGACCTATACTTCAACTCTAGACAAGGATTAATTTTCTGCTTACTGACGCAGAGACATAATATATCACAAAATGGTTGTTCAATACAATATCAAATATCACTAGAGCAATTTTTCACACTTGTTTTACTCACCAAAGCCCATATCATCATCAGACTCTTCCGATTCTTCCTTCGTGGCTGCCGGCGCTGTAAGTCGATTAAAATATGTTTAGAACTTCATTATATATTAGTTTTAATTGAAATTTTCCACAGGTCCCACCATTTCAATAAAGATTTAAACTTTAGCAACCGAACAGCATCCATCCTTAGGGAGCTGTGACGTTTTAAGTAGTTTCAGCTTGCACGTGATTGGAATTTGATGTTAATAACAGTATAAAGTATTAATAATAACTCTTGATACTATATTATGATGGTGCGAAATCGAATCGAATCGGAAGCCAGACTAATGTAAAATTTTAGTGAGTATTTGAGATTCAGGGAGATTGTATGCAGTACTGAGTATGCAAATATATTGGTTAAACAATCCGAATCCTCGAACCATAGCTTATTATTCTGAAACCTTATTGCTTACAGAAAGTATAAAAACATTGTTAGGACACTATATAGCCAGTTTTGAAATAGCAGTCCATCTCCCAGTCATGGACTAGTAACTCCTGGGCAGGGCAAGCTCATTTTTATGGAATTTAGTATAGGTTATCAAAACAAGAGCCGCAGAGCGTCTGGGCTCATCTGAGGTCTGTTGCTATCATTATAAACATAAAATTTCAGTCGTGCGTAGTACCACATTTGTTAGGCGCAGATATGCAGACACGCAGTTGCGTACTCATCATTGTTAGGACACGTCCACTATCGCAG